AAAAGAAAAGAAACGAGGAAGAAAAAAAAAAAATAATAAGAAGGAGAAAAATAAAAATAAAAAAAATTGTCGTTGATTACTTATCTGCGCGACGGCGATGACAAGGACGGGGCGGCGCAGCGACGAGGACGACGGGCATGGTGGTGATGACGTGGCGCGACGGCGGCGATCCCGTCCGTGATGATGATGACGGGGCACAATGACGACAATCACGATGATGGCGATGGTGACGTGGCACGGCGGCGACGATCTCGACGATGGTCGATGATGGCCAGGTGACGACGTCCAAGCAGGGTGGGTCGGGCGGGTTCGAACCGCTCCGATACCAGTGTAACGAGCGTGAGGCTGAGGGTGAGCCGAGGGAGATGAGAGAGAGGGAGAGAGAGGGAGAGAGTGAGAGCACACACACACACTCACTCACTCGACACGACGGACTCGGACTGAGGGTCGGACGCAGACACAGTGGCAAGGCACAAAGTCGAAGTCTTGGATTCCCAATGCCCAAACGGCAAGTCACACTGAGTACGAGTACAGCAGCAGAGAACTGGTCGAGACTCCCCCCTGTACCGTACGGGGAGCCRGTCATAAGTACCGGTGACGCGTACGGTACCAGGGGCATTTCTGCAAAGGCCCCGAGGGCAGAACTGAAAAATGCAGTATTTGAAAGTGGCGCCCGAATTGCAGCATGGCGCCAGTTGTCCAAAATCCTACGGTACCAAAAGGAGGGGTTTGGAAAAAGGGTGCCAGGCCGAAAACGGGATGCAGCCGAAACAGCAAAAGATAGACCAGGGATCGAGCCCTGGCGAAGTCCGTAACAAGTCCAGTCCTTTAACCGGTGGAAGCGCCAGCCGGACCAGTCCACAAAAAAGCTGCGCATGAGGTGTGCCTACCACACTGCGGAGGATTCTGAGCAGAGTGGCTGGTACACCGCGGGCGATTCTGAGCAGAGTGCCTGATACACTGCGGAGGATTCTGAGCAGCGTGCCTGCACTGCCTGGTACACTGCGGAGGGCTGGGACATCACGCCCTTCGACAGCGGGCCTCCTTTTGGCTTGGCATTGCCAGCCATTTTGCCTGGGTACGCTTGAGCGCCCGCTTACGAAAGTTTGATGTACCTTTCAGCCACATGGGCGAGAGTGATTGGTTCCGATGCGCACAGAACAGATACTTTATCAGCGTGCAATTCTTGGTCTTGGATTGTGCACCCTTTGTCTTGTTGGTTGGGAGGGGGGTGGAGGGGGAGGGTGGGCGCAGGAAGTGGGACGCGGGCACCAGGAAGGGGACCGGAGGAAACAAAAAACCTTCTGGTCCCATCCGGCGGGACTGGACTGTTCCAACCTTCTCAGTGAATCTGCCTGGATCGCTTGATGATCTCCTTCAGGGAAATTTGGAGGGTAGTCACACATGGCCTTCCCTGGATGTATCTGACCACAATTACCACCCGTCATGGATGTATCTTGTCGCAATAACGTCCAGAGCTCTGTCAGAAAAGTCCGAGTTCAGGAACTGGAAATGAAATGACTAGACAAGGTTATTGAGAGGGTGCCATAAGGAATTGGGGCCAGTTTTGGACTTGCTGTCACGTTCACCTTTATTCCTTTCTCTTTTTTTTTTCCCTGTTTTTTCACGTTTATTCCTAGTAATCGCTCCCACAGAAATAGAGAAAAAGACAAGACAACCCGCTCTCCCCCCCCCCCCCGAAGAAAAAAGGGAGATCCAGTTCAACAGACTTCCTCCATTTATGTTCCAATCATACTGATCCCTTGCTGAACTGGGGCAAGGTCCCACTTGCAAAGACGATTGGATTTCACGCCTGATTCTGGATGTGTCTGTGGAGATGTGCAGAACATCACAATTGATCTGCGTTTCTGCATCTCTGCATAAAACACAGCCAGATTCAGGCGCTTAATCCAATCCTCTTTGCTAGTGGGACCTCGACCCTGATGCCGTTTACCATCTTCCCCTGAGCACAATGTAATGGGACTAAACATGAATGTACACAAGCTATTATTCCGGTCTTATACAGTCACGATAAGGGTGCGTTGTGTTTCGGGGGAAGGGCAGCACGTAGTACTATGGATATGGGTATGGAGGAGGAGGAGGAGGGCCCAATGACTGAAAGGTGTCCTGGTAGAGGGAATCTGACTAACAGTAAATCACCAGTGCACCCAGGCCTGGGGGCACCGCGCTGAGGGCCAAACTTTGCCGAACCCCCAGCAGTGCACTTTTTTTCTTTTTTGGCCGGCACTACCACCGTTGTGGTCCGGTAGCCCCAAGCCTCGGAGATTTCAGGCGTAGGTGATGAAGAAATATTGCAATGCTGCGGCCGTGCACTGGCAGTTTAAACCACCCTACATGGCCCCAGGCAATTTGAGAACAACAGTCGGCTCAATCTGAAAACTTTGGAGGCCTGGTGCAACCGGAATGAAATGACTGGCAGTGCTAGGCAAAACGAAAACAAAAGTACACCCACGAACTGTTGCAACACAGATGTGAGTTCGAATTCCAGTGGAATCTGATGAGTGAAAATAACTCTGAAAAAGAGTCTGAATTTACCTGGGGCCGGGCAGTTCACAGATGGTATCTCAACCTGTCGCCCGTAAATTAAAAAAAAAAAAACACAAACGCCACGCTGGCATTTCGGCAGAGCTTGGCGGGCAAGGGGAGTCTGCCTGGTACAGAAGAGGCTTGGATGTACTGGTGGTTTAAGCTATAGCCTGGGTATTGTATAGTAGTCTCTTTGTGGAAAGCAAGAGAACCAAGAAAAAAAAGGGAAGGAGTCCACTTTGTGTCGTTTGTAATAACTCAGCTCGTATAATGCTATAATCGTGAGCCAGAGGTTGTCAATTCGGTCTAAAGGGCCGAATCCGAGGCCAGCGGCCACACCCCAATTCAAGAAACCGCCTGAACAAAGGCCTGCCGCATGGCCTCAAAACTGGGCTTCAGAGGCCCTACGCGCGACAGTTGACCAAGGAAAGTCGAAGGTCAACAGCAGATCGGAAATTCAGGCTCACGAGTCAAAGTCAACACGGACCCAGCCCAGGCCACCGATCAGACACACACACTTGGCTGTTTGCAGGTATCTGTCAAGAATCCGGTCCAAGTGGGAGTCTTCAACTATAAGAGATCCAGGCCAATGACTGTCGGTCAATCTGGGCCGTCGTATCTGAGAGATCTGAGGCTGGTCAACCTCGAGTCAACACTATAAGCTGACCCAGCCGCTGCTGACCGACATTCAGTCTTGCACTTGCTGCTGGACGCTGGCTTGATGCTGGCTCGACTCTGGCTGGATGCTGGCTCGATATTGGACGACAACGCGAGACTGCTACTGCTAAGTGGTGGTGCCATTCTCTGTCTTCGGCGCCAGCTCTCTTCTCGATTATGCTGATGTGGCTCTCGCCACACTGTCTACTACATTGATGGGATATTGGCGAGGAGGAGGAGGATCAGGGCTGTGAGATTGGTCGAGTGTAGAAACGAGAGCTTACCTGTTCACGATCGTGTCGACATTGCGTGCTGTTGTTGTCTTCAGGAGTCTTCGCCGTGTGCGCCATGTTGAGATCTGTTGGATGTCAGTGTGTGTCAGAGGAAACTGTCTGCTGGCGTGGCGAGTAGGAGATGCCCGAAGGACTTGGAAGGAGGAGTGGGGCAAGAGGGAGATCTATCTGCTGAAGCTGCTGGTTACTTAAAAGTGAATACTCTCTTCCACCCTCTCAGTCTAATCTCCCTCTCATCACTCTCTTCTCTGGTTACATGTATGATTGGAGACATTGAAACTGCGCTGAGACATTCTGTACTTGACATTGTTGAGCTTTCTTCCTGACTGGGTTCATTGCACTTTTTTCTTTCCAACAAAAACCAATTCTTTGTCTTTAAGAAGTGGAGACTGGTTCCAGTGTCCCTTACATACCCAGTCGGGCCAGTAGCCGCTCTTCCTTCAGTTATCGCCGAAGGAAACTGAGACAAAGGCCTTGAAAGGATTTTCCGCTGCTGTCTCCCTGTAATTTGGAATTTCGCAAAGACTGGATATTCGACTTTCTTCATTAAATTTACTACATTGTCAATTTGTCATCATGATGGCTTGTAATTGTGATTGTATTAAGTGTCCCCTAGGTCACCTTGGTTGCCCGGCGGCATGGCCGCGCAAGGGGCCAGGGAGGGTCCCTGTATAAAATAAAATAAAATCCAAAAAAAAATCAAAAAAGTGAACAAACTGTTTTGCAAACAAATAAACTGGGTGACAGATCGAAGGCAAAGAAAACCATTTAGTATACTATATTTATTATTTACAAATTACAATGCATGTCCAGTTACTTGAACATTAGGCGGAAAGGGCAAGAGCATCGAAGAACTACGCAGATGGGCACACGGAGACACAAACTCATGGATTTCGGATCTGACTCGAGACACACAGTGACACAGAGTCAAGGACTGTAGTCGTACACCCCGTCCAATTACTTGTTGCACTGTTCAATACACAGATAGACATTTTGGCCAGCAGACGAACAGCGAACAGTGCATCAAATGATCGGACAAGATATGGAACTGTACTTCCCAACTCGGAGTTAGCGAGTATAGTTCTGTACCCCTCTCTAATCACTTGACGCACTGTGCAGTGTATGGTTCTGTATCCCATTCTGTTTGCCAGGCAGCACTGTAGTGTAGCTCTACGTCCCTGACTGTTTGTCAGTTGTACAGACCGACAGACATGCTGCCTGGCAGACGGACTGCGAACAGTGCGTCAAAGGATAGGACAGGAAAATTATTTGCCAAATTTAAATTTAAAATTAAAATTAAAAAATATGGTGCACTGTTTTTTTCTTAAATAAGTTAAATATTTTTATTATTTTATTCATTTTTGGCCAAGGCCGGACAAGTGGTCCCAAGCGACTCTGGTAACATAGATTACTAATAAAAATTGCTGTCTTTCAGGTGAGACGAGAGCTGGCACCTTATTGGAATTGCTTGGAGCCTGTGGAACCAGAGTCACCGGTCGATCAAAATTTATCAGGGCTTCGAGAATTAGAGGCAGAAATGGAGGTGCGTTGCAGTCTACTCGTCTTCAGTTATATATTTGTGTCCCAATTCTCTCGAATGATGGATTTAAAAAATTCAAAATTTAATAAAAATGAATGAAGTCTTCATCTTTAGGGGGGGGGGGGGAATAATAAACACACGAGCTTCCGGGCAATTGCATTGCACCCGGGTTGGTCGGCCTGTGAAACCCTTAGGCGAAGCTCAGGGGCCATTTGGCTGAAGTTGAGTCTAGTCCGTATGTCGTAATGACCATGCTGGCATGGGATGAAATTCGCATCTGAGGGCTTCAGTTGCATCCCAGCTCGCTTTGCCTCGTTGCAAAAGTTCTTCTTTGAGTTCAGCAGGTTCAGGGTTCGATTCCTGGAGTGAGCGAATTCGTTTAATTTCAGCGATTTGGATTGGAGCTTGGAGAAGTCAAGGACTCAAAACAAGTAGTCTTCTTCTTCTTCTTTTTTTGCCCCTTCTCCTCCCCAGGGCCCACACGCTAAAATCAATATGATGAAGTAGCAACTAGTAGCAAGTAGTAGGCACTGATATGAACCGGGGTGTTCATGTGTATGTAATATGACCTCATACCCTGTGCATGTCAATGTGTATGTACATATCAATGGACTATTAGACATGCACTCTGTGGGGGCTGGTTGAGGTACTTTCGTATGGACCAGAGTTATTAGACTTTCTCTTTTACCCTTCCTTCGGAAAAGTTCCGTTCACATATCGATGGACACGCACTGTGTGGGCTGCTTGCAGTACTATGTGGCCATCCTACCTGTCTTCACCCGAATACAGTGTACATTGTACAGTCATTATTGCTCTAGCTAGACTTAAAGTTGCCCCAAATACAGCTATAATAACCTTACGTTGTATTCGGTTAAACGCAGTAGTCTTCTCTTTCTTGAATTTTCTACTAATCTTTTTTTTTTTTAAATAACAAAGCTAGATTCTTCTCCCAATTTCACATGTATGTCACACCTTTCATTTACTGTTAATTTTAGACTTTCCTTTGCCGTGCTTTTGAAAAAGTTCCAAGTACATATCAGTGGACGTGTACGAAGTGAGCTGGGTGCAGTGCTATGTGGGCTCTCTCCAACTTCCTCCTCCTCCTTCCCCCGCCCCCTCGATACCTGTTTGAAAATATAGGGCTGGATTATGCATGCTCTCGATGAGTGCAGAACGGTCCTGCACAGACCTGCAGTGAAAAAAACAAACAAAAAAAGTTCTGGCCACTTTACAGCCCCCTGATCACCCAGTCGATTCCGGGCTCTCTGCTGGCCCGGGCATGCCCAGCAGCTACGCCCACTTTATAGCCCAGAATGATGGCATAATCTGATTGCATTTTTTGAAGCAGGTATCTCCTAAAAAAAGCGGACGAGCAGCAGCATCTGTGCAAAGACCAACCCTTTCGTTTGCGGCTGTGCCTCATAGTCAGGCCTTTCAGTTTGGCAGCCCCCACCGTTGTTATGTCCATGCTCAGTACGAATGAATGCGGCCTTGAACCCTGGCTGTGTTCATGCTTTACAAACGTAGCAAAAGCATAGCGCCAGTGAAGCCAGCCCTTAGGGTGAGCCAGCCCATGGAATGTTATAACTTTGCGAAAAATGGACAGAACCTGGTTCTGTTTCTGGGATAAGTTCAGCATAAGTTATAGCAACTTACCATGCAATTACCCAAATTGCAATCAGACTCGTTCTCATTCACACTTTTCATGCATGTAAACAGTAGCGCAGCAAACTTGCGACATGCGCCCACTCCAAACTCAGAGATATAGCATCCAGATACGAGTTCACTTTCAACTGGCTATGGCGACTCAGCGCCCAAACAACTCACTGTTCACATACACCGGATCACCCTGGATATCCCACACGCGTCACTCTGAACACTCGCACATACACACATACACTTCACACTAAACTATAGCTATGGCAGCTATGGCTGCCTCTACCCTACCGCTATGCTACGCTCCTTCTCTCTTGCCCACTTCAGCACCGGGCTCTCTGCAGACCTCCTTGCACAAGTCGCTGTGGCAGCGCTTCCGCATGGCTCACGCAGGAATGAATGAAAGGCCGGGCGCTGCCTCTTGATTTATACTTCTGAAACTTGTTCGTCTGCCCTCTTCCATCGGCCCATGGTGCTCACAGTCCCTTGTGGTACTTGCTGGACCGGACTGGGACTGACTGGACCTTACCGCTGACTGAGTGGGGACTCACTGCTAACCTACCSAGATYGTACKGCAATTGCACWGCAGTTTAGTCCACCACTTGACTCACCACTTGACCACTTGCCCACTGGCCGACCTTCTAGAAGGACTACAGCTAAGACTTCTGGAACTCGCTAAGACTTCTACTCTATAGATCTACAGATCGAACCCCTGCTTCCTATGGGACCGTACGACAGTTACAAATACACAGGTCGCAGGTTCAACTCTCGGGGTCTACACAGGTACTGTACACAGGTAAGGTGAGG